CCCGGGGCCCCTCCCCCCACCCCACCCCGGGGCCCCTCCCCCCACCCCCGCCCGGTTCCCACGGGGTGGGGGAGGGGCGCGGCCCCAAAATAGCCCCGGGGGCGGGGAGGGGGGGGCCGGCTGCTGCCCCTCCCCCCACGCCCCCGTGTGCTTGCTGTAATTAACTCGACCTAACGAACTTCATTCCACTCGTAATTAACTTTTATCCAACTTTTAATTAACTTTACACAGCTCTTGACCAACTTTTGCCAAACTTTTAATCAACTTTATTTCACTTCAGCAAACTCCACCCAACTTCTCTCGTGCTCGTTAAGGCCACGCCCCCTCCCTTCACTAATGAATGAATGAATTAATTAATTAATTAACCGGCCTGGAGGGGGGAGGGGCCGCCTGGAATGTAAACGATCTGGAATGGTTCGTTAATTAATCCATTCATTAATTAACTGCGCAAAGCAGAACGGAGTAGTCAAGTAGGGATATAGTAGTTAATTAGCCTCCAATCATTGATTAATTAAGCCCCTGGGGATAAACAAGCCCCTGAAAGCAGCAGCCTTAAGCAGGAAAATTGATCAGGAATATTAATTAGCCTTTGGTAATTATTTGCAGGTGCCATTAGCATTGATTAACTAATTAATGGCAATGATAGCCCAGAATTAGTTAATCGGGGGCGATAATGAGGCATCAATAATTAGTTGGGGGGGTTGATAAATTTTGAATAAATTAACAGCCTGAGCTAATTAATCAGTAGATGTTAATTGCTCTGAATAATTAATGGTGGACCTATTTAGCCTTAAATAATTAATTGCAGCAGTTAATTAACCGCAAGTAACGGCACTAACGGACCTGGAATAGTTGACTGGGTGGGCTAATTAATCTGGAATAATTAAGGAACAGGGGCTAATTAACCTGGAATGATGAGTCAATGGCACAGTATCACCTGGAATAATTAACAGAATGTGGCTAATTAACCTGGAATGATTAATCGAGGGGATTAATTAGCCTGGAATCAGTGGGGTTAATTAACTGTGTCCCTCGCCCTGAGAGTTCGCCGCTCATTAATGGGCGCTAATTAATGCCCTGGGGAGACACACATGGGAATGACACAGCATTCATTACATGGAATTAATTAATTACTTGGGAATTGATTAATCACACAGAATTAATTCCATGTAATCACACGGAATTAAGGCAAAATCCAGAGGGGACAAAGACTGGGATGAGACGGGATTGAGACTGAATTAATTAATACGGAATTAATGACTGGGGATTGACATGGAATTAACGACACGGGATCGACACGGAATTAATGACACGGGATTGACATGGAATTAATGACATGCGATTGACATGGAATTAACGATTTGGGATTGACACGGAATTAGTGATTTGGGATTGACACGGAATTAACGATTTGGGATTGACACGGAATTAGTGATTTGGGATTGACACGGAATTAACGATTTGGGATTGACACGGAATTAATGATTGGGGATTTTCATGGAATTAAGGCGAAATCCACGTCAGGATTTGTGGAAGGCACACCATGGGAACGACGCGGGACGAACACTCGGGGTTTTTCTGGAATTGCAGGGAATTAAGGCAAAACCCAAGGCAGGACGGAAGCAGGGACGCCCCGGGAATTCCGTGGGAATTCCGCGGGATCAAGGCACCGCCCCGAGGTGCGGGGACAACGCGGATCCGCCGTCAGGAGCGGCGTGACGTCACCTCGGTGACGCCATCCCGGTGACGTCATCCCGGTGACATAACCCCGGTGACGTCGTCCCGGTGACGTCGTCCCGGGCACGTCACGGCGCGTCCGGCCGCGTCCGGCTGCGTCCGGGCTCGTCCAGTTTGGGGGCCAGGGCGAGCAGCAGCGCCCGCAGGTGCCGCGCGCCCTCCTGAGCGGCCGCCAGCACCTCCTCGTGCCCCGTGAGCGCGGCCGGGTGTGGCTCCGGCCCCGCCCCTCCCGCCGTGACGTCAGAGCTGTCCTCGTCCTCGTCACCGGGCGCCGAGTTGGTGATGAGGGACAGCCCCAGCACGCGCAGCCCCAGGTGACGCGCGGCCGCCGCCTCCGACACCGTGCTCATACCTGGGGGGACAGCGAGGCTGGGGACACACCTGGGGACACCTGGGCACACCTGGACACGCCTGGGGACACCTGGACACACCTGGATACACCTGGGGACACACCTGGGCACACCTGGGCACACCTGGGGACACACCTGGGGACACCTGGGGACACACCTGGGGTGTGCTGATCCCAAACTCAGGGGGCTTTGGGCATTTGGGGCTATTTGGCTCTGCTTTGGGATTCTTTTGAGGGTGATTTGGGGCGATTCTGGGCTGCTCTGGGGCCGTTCTGCTGCTCTTTTGGGGCCCATTTCAGACTCTTTTGGGACTCCTCTTTTGGGACCCTCTCCGCACCCTCCCGGGCCCTTCATCCTCACCGACGGCGTCGGCCCCGAGGTGCCGCAGCAACCGGCACTCGGCGGGGGTCTCGTAGCTGGGCCCCCCCACGCCCACATAGACCCCGGGGCGGGCCCGCAGCTCCTTCGGGGCCAGGGACAGCGCCAGCCGCCGCAGCCCGGGGTCGTAGGCGTCCGTCATGGCCGGGAAGCGCGGCCCGAACCTGCCGGGAGCCGCGGCACCTCGGGATGGGGCCGGTTCCCCCAGAACCGGCTCCTCCTCACCCCAAAATCGGCCCCGTCCCCCCCAGTACGTCCGTTTTTACCTCCATATTGGCCCCTTCTGCCCCCCCCGATGCCCATTTTCACCCCAAACCCCCTTTTTACCCCCAAATCCCCGTTTTTCCCCCAAATCCCCCTTCTTCCCCCCAAATCCCCCTTCTTCCCCCCAAACCCCGCCCCGGCCCCGCCCCAGCAGGCCCCGCCCACCTCTCGTCATTGGGCCCCACGAGGGGCGAGCGTCCGGCCAGGCCGGGGAGGTCGATGTGGTCGCGGATGACCAGCAGGTGACCGGGGCCCAGGTGTGGCCGCAGGGACCCCGCGGCGTTGGTCAGCACCAGGGTGTGGACTCCGGCCAGGGCCAGAGCCCGGACAGGAACCACCACCTGTAGGCGTGGCCAGGGCGTGGTCAGGGGAGGGGCCAAGGGTGGCCCCAGAAGTGGGTGTGGCCCCAGAAGTGGGTGTGGCCCCAGGGGTGGGCATGGCCCAGGTGAGGGTGTGGCCCCAGGGGTGGGCGTGGCCCAGGTGAGGGCATGGCCCTAGGGGTGGGTGTGGCCCCAGGGGTGGGCGTGTCCCAGGGGTGGGCGTGGCCCAGGTGAGGGCATGGCCCCAGGTGAGGGTGTGGCCCCAGGGATGGGCGTGGCCCCCAGGGGTGGGCGTGGCCCCCAGGGGTGGGTGTGGCCCCAGGGGTGGGTGTTGCCCTCAGGTGAGGGCTAGCTCACCTGGGCGGGGCTGTAGCCCTCGTACAGGTGGAACCGGCCCTGCAGGACGGCGCAGGGGGCGGAGCCCAGGCGGCCGACGACCAATCGCCCAGCATGGCCCTGCACTGGGGGCGGGGCCAGGGTCACCACACCCCCCTGAGCCCCAGGAGACCCCCGGCCCTCCCGCTAAATCCCCCAACCCCCCCAAACCATCCCAAAATCCGCCAAAACTGTCCCAGACCACCTAAAATCCCCCGGACCTCCCGCTCCAAGCGCTCCCAGGGCTCCCAGTTCCCCCAGTTCCTCGAGCAATCCCAGTTCCTCCAGCGCTCCCAGCGCTCCCAGTGCTCCCAGCACTCCCAGTGCCCTGGCTCCCAGCGCTCCCAGTTCCCCCAGTTCCCCCAGTTGCCCCAGTACCGGTGCTGCGGGGGAAGTGCGGGATCTCGGCGTAGTCGAAGCTCTGCGGCTCCGAGAGCTCCTGGGCCAGCGCCCCCAGCCCCGAGCCGCACACCAGGGCCACGCGCGGAGCCTCCCGCAGCCGCGCCCGCAGCCAGGCCGCCGCCTCGGCGCACGCCTCGTAACTGGGACAGACCGGTACGGACCAGTACAGACCAGTACGGACTAGTATGGACCGGTACGGAGCAGTATGGACCAGTATGGACCAGTAAAGACCAGTGTGGGCACATACGGGTCAGTACGGACCAATGTGGGCCAGTATGGACCAGTGTGGGGCACTATGGCAGTGCATGGACCAGTCTGGCACCAGTTTGGCACCTAACTGGGACCGCCGGGACCTCCGGAATGACCCCAGGACCTCTGGAATGACCCCAGGACCTCCGGAATGACCCCAGGACCTCTGGAATGACCCCAGGACCTCCGGAATGACCCCAGGACCTCTGGAATGACGCCCAGTATGACCCCAGGAGCCTTGGAATGACCCTGGGATCCCTGGAATGACCCCAGGACCCCCGGAATGACCCCAGGAGCCTCGGAATGACCCCTTGGATCCCCGGAATGACCCCAGGACCCCCGGAATGACCCCAGGAGCTCCAGAGTGACCCCGGGATTCCCCAAAAGGACTCTTAGGGACGGTGGGGACCCATCGGGTGATGGGGGGGGGGGGCACGCGGACCCCCCCCAGGGGCCCCAGGGACACCCAGGAACCACGGGGCGACAGGTGGGGACCCCCAGGAGCCCCAGAAGAGCTGGGATGACCTCCAGGGACCCCCCAGAGGCCCCCCGAGCCCCGCTGAGCACCCCCATCCCCGACCTTGACTCTCGCCCGGAGCAGCCGCGGCCCGGGCTCGGGGCCAGACGGACTTGGGACGGGGCGGGCGATGCCCCGCCCCCCGAATCCCCCCAAAACCCCCCGAATCCCCCCCAAAACCCCTCTCCCCATCCCTGCTCCTTCCCCTCCCCATCAATGGGATTGGGGGGGTGGTCTTTACGCCCCCAGGCCACGCCCCCTGGCGCCGATTGGCCGCGGCGGAGGTAGGAGACCCTCAGGCCGCGATCCCATTGGGTCATCCCCGCCCCCAGCATCCTCCCATCCCCAAAAACTCCCCGAAAAGCCCCCCCGGGGCCCCCCCCTCACCTCCCGTCCATCGGAGCCGCGTCTGCGCCGCCGCCCCCGCCCCCCGCCGCTTATGAGGGGGCGCGCCGGGTGACGTCACCGCGCACGATCGCGCCCCCCTCGCTTCGCCCAATCGGGGGCTGCGCTGGCCCGACCGCGCCCCCCGTCGCCATGGAAACCGCCGCGGGAGAAGCGGTGGGAGCGGCAGGAGCTGCGGCCAATCACCGCGCGGCGCCTGGGGGGAATCCAGCCAATGGGAGCGCGAGAAGCGAGGGGCAGGCAAAGCGTTGCCGGGAAACACTAGAGGGGTTGGGGAAATCACGTGACAGCAGAGTCGGCCAATGGGAAAGCGGGGAGGGACCCGGAATAGCGGCGGGAGCGTTGCCTGGCAACGCCGAGTAAGGCGGGAGTGTCACGTGGAGGAGGAGGACCAATGAGAACGCTAGAAAAAAAACAGGAAAGCGGCGCGGGCGTTGCCAGGCAACGCCGCAAGGGGAGGGTCACGTTGGCAGAGCGGGCCAATGGCAGCGCTCGGAGCGGTGACGGCGTCGCCCGGCAACGCCGCGGGGCGGTCACGTGATTCGGCGGGGCCAATGGCGGCGCGCGGGAGGCGGAGGTCGCGGGGAGCAGTCCTCACGTGACCCCAGAGGACCAATCGGGCGCAGAGGGGCGTGGCGTAGGCGCTGTCATGGCGGACGGGGAGCGATCGCCGCTGCTGCCGCCCGAGGCGGGGCCGGGGCCGGGCGGGGCCGCGGCCTCCGGTGAGAGAGGGTGGGGTCACCCGGGACCGGCGTGGCGTTACCAGGGGCGGGGTCTGGCGAGGCGGGCAAGCCGGAGGGGCGTGGCTTATCGCGTTGAGAAGGGAGGGGCGTGGTTTGTTTGGGCGTGGTTCGGTGACTGACCCGGCGTTCCCCGTTGGCAGGCGGCGGGGGGCCGGGTCCCGGCGAGGGCCCGCCCCCTTACTCGCCATTGGGCAGCCCCGAGGGCGTGGGGGCGGGGCCCCCGGCGGTCACGTGCCGCGTGTGCCAGCGGCCAATCAGCGTCGAGGGCAAGACGCATCAGCACGTGGTGAAGTGCGGGGGGTGCGGTGAGGCCACGGTAAGGGGCGGGGCCTAAAAGGGGCGGGGCCTTAACTGGGCGGGGCCTGAATGGGCGTGGTGTGAATTGGGTGGGGTCCGAGTGGGTGGAGCTTGGTATGGGAGGGTTTGTGGTGGGGTGGGGTCTGAAAGGGGCATGGTCTGAGCTGGGTGGGGTCAGGGGGGGCTCCGGGGTGAAAGAAGGGGCGGGGCGTGGGGGGGCGTGGTTCCACCTGGGGTGGGTGGTGCTCGAGGGTGTGTCCCCTGAGGCACTGCCCCCTGTGCTGTGGCAGCCAATCCGAACGGCCCCTGGCGGGAAGAAGTACGTGCGGTGTCCGTGCAACTGCCTGCTGGTGTGCAGGGCCTCGGCCCAGCGCATCGCCTGCCCGCGGCCATACTGGTCAGACTGGGAGGGGACTGGGAGGGGCTGGGAGGGGGACAGGGAGGGGCTGGAGAGCACTGGGAGGTGACTGTGGGGTCTGGGGGGAATAGGGGTGGACCAGGGTGGAGTGGAAGTGAACTGGGATGGGGTTCTGGGGTATTGGGAGGGACTGGGAGGGGTCACTGGGCCATACTGGGAGCACTGGGAGCGGTCACTGGGCCATCCTGGGAGCACTGGGAACGGTCACTGGGCCATACTGGGAGCACTGGAGGGATCTCCGGGGGGTCCCTGGGCCAAGCTGGGAGCAGCGCGGGGTTCCCTGGGGGCCCAGCCCCCCTCCCAGTATAACCCAGCTCCCCCCAGTAAGAGGATCATCAACCTGGGCCCGGTGCAGACGGGGGCCCCCAGCCCTGACCCGCCCCCCGGGGGGGTGCGCGTGGCCTGCGCCCACTGCGGGGGACCCTTCCTGGTAAGCCACGCCTGTCCGGGTCCCGCCCACCCTGATCCCGCCCCTTTGACACACCCTTGTGACCACGCCCCTTTCTCTGCAGTGGGCGGAGCTCCCCGACCGCTCCCTGGCGCGCTGCCCCCACTGCCGCAAGGTGTAAGTCAGGCCCCGCCCCTTTGGAAGTGTGGTTGTGGCGACCGCGCCCCTTGCCCGTGTGGGAGTGGTCACTCTGGAGGTGACCACGCCCCCCTGTCCACGCCCAGGTCTGCCATTGGCCGGCGGTTCCCACGGCGACGCTGCCTCTGCTGCCTGCTGGGGGCGCTGCTGATGGGCGGGGCCGCAGCCGGACTGGCGGTGAGGGCGGAGCCTGGGGGCGGGGCCTAAGGGGGTGTGGTCCAGGAGGGGGAGGGGCTCAGATGTTGATGGGGCAGTCTGGCAGGTTTTAAGGGGGAGGGGCTCCAGGAGTGTGGGTCAAGGGGTGTGGCTTAAAAGGGTGGGGCTTGAAGGGGGAGGGGCTGGAATTGAATGAGGTGGGAGGAGGGGTGTGGCTTTAGTGGGGTGTGGCCTGACATTTTGGGACAGTGCTGAGGGGCGTGGCTTATAGGAGGCGGGTTTTTATCCATGTGGAGGGTGTGGCCTAGTGGGTGTGGCACAAGTGGGCGGGGCTTACCACTGCAGTCAGGGCAGAGCCAGCGACAATGACCACGCCCCCTGCCCCGCCCAGGCTGGAACGTGGTGGCTGTGGCGCCGGGCGCGGTGGGTGCCGGCGGCGTGGGCGGTGCTGGGGGCGGGGGCAGGGGCGTGTCTGCTGCGTGCGGCCTATTGGGGCTGCGTGCGGGTCAGCCAGCCCCTCCCCCCACGCGCCTGACCGCACCCACCCGCCTGGACACGCCCCACCCACACGGGCACGCCCCTTCGCCGTGGAACACGCCCACGGGCGCGGCCGCGTTGGGGACGCGCCTCAGTCGTGATGACGTCATGTGGCCACACCCTGTTCGTCATTGGACAATTTGGCGATTTCTGGCCCCGCCCCTTCCTTCAGCATGGCCCCGCCCCCTCCTGCATGCCTTGGGCCCAGCCCACCTGTACATAAGCCCCGCCCTCTGTACAGTCCTATTTATTGAACGGCCACGCCCACCATGGGCGGCCTTCTATGTAAATAAACCCAAAACCAACATTTCACCCCAAAATTCACCTTTATTAAAACATCAGGGGAGGGAGGGGCGGTCCCTGAGGGGCGGGGCTGAGGGGGCGGGGCCTTTGGGGTGGGGTGGGAACGGATTTGGGGCTGCTTGGGGAAGTTTTGTGACCGAGCAGCGACAGCAGCACCTGAGAGGCCCAAATTTGGGCAGTTTTGGGGGAATTGGGATAAAACGGAGAGTGAGATGCCATCTGGGTCTTGATGACATCATCAAAACTGTATTTCGAGTCAATTTTGGGACATTTTGGGCCAGCATCTAATCTAAAGCCTGGATGGCGCCACCAACAGACAACTTAGGATCGTTTTGGTTGAATTTAAGCCAATTTCGGGCCGACTTCAAAACGGTTTTTTGGGCCCGACTTGAACTTTTTGAACTCCAATTCTTTCCGAGCCTATCTGGGGCCAATTTGCGCCAACATCGGGCCGACTCACCTCCGATTAAAAGCGGGCCGCACTGCCTGGGCTGTGCCGGCGCCGCCGCCGGATCTCCCCGGGGGGATCTGGGGCGGCCGCGGGGCCCTAGACGGCCAGCAGGGCGGTGATGGGGCAGTGGTCACTGCCCGGCACGGTGCTGCGGATCTTGCAGTCGCAGAGCGCGCCCAGCAGCCGCCGCGACAGCACGGCGTAGTCCAGCCGCCAGCCCACGTTGCGGGCCCGCGCGCCGCCCAGGTAGGTCCAGAAGGTGAAGGCGCCGCGCGCCTCGGGGTACAGGTGGCGGAAGGAGTCGACGAAGCCGGCGGCCAGCAGGCGGGAGAAGCCCTCGCGCTCCTGCGGCGTGAAGCCGGGGTTGGCGCGGTTGACGCGGGGGTGGCACAGGTCAATCTCGCAGTGCGCCACGTTGAGGTCGCCGCACAGCAGCACCGGCTTGCGCTCGTCCAGGCGCCGCAGGAAGGACAGGAAGGCGGCGTCGAAGCGCAGCCGCGGCTCCAGCCGCACCAGGCCCCGGCCCGCGTTGGGCACGTAGGCCGACACCACGAAGAGCGACGGGAACTCGGCCGTGACCACGCGGCCGTCGACGTCGTGCTCGGGGTCGCCTGCGGGGCACCGGGAGTGACCGGGGGGACTGGGAGGGCACTGGGAATGAACTGGGAGTGACTGGGGGCAGTGGGAAGGACTGGGGAGGGACGGCGATGGCACTGGGAATTGGGATGCTTTCAGGATGGTTTGGCGTCTATTTGGGGTGTCTTTGGGCCAGGTTTAGGGCGTGTTTGGGCTGGGGTGGGTTCAGGCTGTGATTGGGGTGTGTTTGGGGCTCTCACCGATGCCGTAGGTGACATTGAGGGGCTCAGTCTTGGCCAGCAGCCCCACGCCGCTGTAGCCCGGCCGGTCCTTGGCGCTGGACCAGAACTGGTGCGGGAGCCCCGGCAGCGCCCGGATCTCGGCGGGCACGGCCGAGACGGCGCATTTGGTCTCCTGCAGGCACAGCACGTCCGGGGCCTCCTCCTGCACCCACTGCGGGGACCCCCAGTCAGAGTGGGAACCCCCAAACACGACCAGATTCCACCAGGGGGAGCGGAACGGCGCTGGGAGCCCCGAAACGCCCAGGGAACAACCAGAAATGGCCAGGGGAACCCTGAAATTAATCTGAGCGCTGCCCGAAAGGCACGAAGGATCCCTCCCAGATACATGGGGACCCCCGGAACCGTACGGGACCCTACCCCAGCGCCCCCGAAAACCTGCAGTTGGCTCCTCCCACTCCCGCAAGCCCCTCCCCCGGCCCCACCCGGGCACTCACCTGGGCCCCGCCCTTGCGCACCCAGGCCCGCAGCCCGTCCACGTTCCAGGAGGAGACCTTGAGCGTCCAGCGCCGGCCCTCGGGCGTGGCCTCGCGGGTGGGCGGGTCCTCGTACAGCGGGGCCGGCGGCGCCTTGGCCACCTTGGCCACCTTGGCAGGGCCGGGTCCTGCGTGGGGAGGGTTACTGGGAGCACTGGGAGCACTGGGAGGGGGGGGCTGGGGTGGACTGGGAGGAACTGGCCACGGGCTGGGTGGTCCTGGGCTGTACTGGGTCCAACTGGGGTTTATGGGGCTCACAGCGGGGTGGTACTCGGGGTTTTGAGGGGTCGCACTGGGTTGTACTGGGCTGTAAAGCGTTGGACTGGTCCGGACTGGTCACTCACCGGCCTCGTCCCCGCTGCCGCTCTCCTCCTTCTTCTTCCCGCGCTTCGGCATGGCGCAGACCTCGCCCACAGCGGTCCGGGCACGCCCCCTCCGCCGATGCCCCGCCCCTCGGCTTTAAGCCCCGCCCCTGCGCGGGGGAGCGAGGCCGCCATCAGCGCGAGACCCGCGGCCAATCAGAGCGCTTCGAACCCTTAATCCCCACCTTCCCTCCACAGCTCAGCCAATCACAGCGCGCCTCTCCCCACGGCGCTGCAGCCAATCACCGCCCGCCGCCGCCACGTGCAGCGCTGGGGGCCGAACCGGGGCCGGTGGGGATCGGAACCGGGGCTGGGGCCGGGAACAACCCGGCTAGACCGGGCCCAGACCGGGCCCGAACGGCGCCCGGTGCCCTGCGCTCGACCCGCGCGCCCTCCTCCCCCCGCCAGCTGTCAGTCATCTCCCGCAGTGACCAATCAGCGCCCGCCGCCGTCCCGGTCGAACCCGTCCCCTCCCCCTCCGCTTCCACCCCAATCAGCGCGCGCCGTACCTCAGCCCGCGGGACCAATCAGCGGCGGCGGAGGCGGCGCGCGGGACCAATCAGCGGCCGCGGCGCGCGGGGCGGGGGCGGCGGCGGGAGCGGCGCGAGCGGCTCCGCGCGCGCGGGAACCGTGAGGGGAGGGATGGATGGAGGAGGCGTGGCCGGAACCGGAAACGCTCAGGGGGTTGGGGGGGGCTGTGGAGCGGAAGTTGCGTAGCGGAGCGGCGGGAGAAGCGGCGGGAGGAGAGACGGCGGCGGCGGCGGCGGCGGCGTGACGTCACTGGGGGGACACCGGGGAGCCCGGAGTGACGTCATGCCGACCGTGCTGGGCCTGGAGGGCTCCGCCAACAAGGTGGGCGCGGGGGTGGTGCGGGACGGCGTCGTCCTCAGCAACCGCCGCGCCACCTACGTCACGCCGCCGGGACAGGGTGACGTCATTTCCCCCCTCGCCCCCCCCC